TTTTTTTTTTTTTTTTTTTTTTTTTTTTTTTTTTTTGTTAATAAGAATAATAATAATAATAATAACAATAATATATGAAGGAGGAAAGAAAAAGTATGGGTTATATGCAAAAGTGGACAGAGTGGGAGTAGGATAAAAAAAAAAAAATATATATATATATATATAAAAGAAAGTGGGGGAACAAGAGTGTAAGGAAAAGAATCGTGGGTGAGGAAAAGGAAAAAAGAAAGAAAGAAAAAGAGGGGGGACAAAAGTTGGACTTGAAAGTGTGAAAAGAGGAGAAGGAATTAAAAAATGAAAAGAAATAGATAAAAGAAAAAGAAGAAGATTCGGGGTGATCAACAGTGTGTTTATTGGGGTATGCAGAGGAGCATGTTTGGTGCTGGTGGTGGAGATTGGTTTAAATAAAATAAAAAAATAAAAAGAAGAAGAGAGACAGCCGCTGCTGCCCTTATTATTTATTTATTTATTTATCATGGCCTTGAAGAGAGAGAGCTCGAGGATGTTGGAAACACCAATGAGGTTTCAGAAGGTGATGCTCTTAGCATAAGAGCCAGCAACGGACCTCGCGGATGTGGACGGAGAATCGGAGGAACTTGATAGCCCAGTAGATTAGAGCGGCAGTGACCATGAGACCCGGGTAGAGAGTGCCGCCGATGATGCGACCTAGAGGGTACCAGCTCTCGGAATCGAACTAGTTCCAGAACTCGTAAAAGCCCTTCTCGGTCAGGAACAGAGTGGTCCTGTAATTGAAGTAGGGATCGAACTCATGGATCATGCTCTCGTAGCGGAGGACGCTGAAGAGACGACTGATGAAGGCGAGGACGTAGACGAGGCCGAGGATTGTGACTCGGATTAGGAGAGCCTGCTGAGAGTACGGCTTTGAGGTCAGGAGGGAATGCGAAGCCGAACTCAGCTTCGGCTCGGGCAAACTCGGCGTTGAACAAGCCGGGGTGGACTTGGATACCGGAGTTCCTAAGGTGGGTGATGAATATGACAGCGATAGTGAAGGTATGTGTAGAGGTCTGGCGGGCGGTCAAGGCGAGGCTGCCGCCTGCCGGTGAAGCAGAATTATTAGATTCTAAACCTGCTCTGATACCATGTTAAAATTGATGTATTATTGATTGATGTTTGTTGTTATGTTTACAATTCCTATATATAGAAGAGAAGAATAGGTAGTAGGTGGAGTAGGTGAAGTGGGTGGAGTAGGTGTAGTGGAGTAGGTGAAGTGGGTGAAGTAGGTGATAGGTTTTAACTTTTTTTTCTTATAAATAGGTGAAGACTTTCACTATAATTTTATCAAAACTCTTAATGAGATTTCTCACAAGAGGAGACCCTTAAAAAAGAGTTTCAAATTAAAATTTTCTTATATTCTTATATTTTATATATAATATATATATATATATATATATATATTTAAAATAAGAAAGAAAGAAAAGAAAGAAAGAAAAAAAAAGAAAAACTGAAAAAAAAGGAGCCGAACCGGTTCGATCAACCCGTGACCGGGTCAACCG